AGTGCAGCTGTTTTTCCTTATAAACAAATTTTAAAATGTTCTATTTGAATAATGTAACCACAGAGCGGAGTTAAAGGGAAGCAGAGGTCACGCCTGTAGAGGAGATCACATGGGAGTTGGTGTAAATCAGGTTGAAACAAAAAGTGTTACAGAGTGACAGTGTTAACAGCCTCACACTCAACATAAAAGACCCGATTCGAGTTTCCGTGGATGAACAGACAGATTATTTATTTTTGTTATGTTCTTTGAACAAGCATCACTTCCTTACTCAGACAAAGCAGCCAAATGTATTTGTAGTTATGGCGGGTTATGTAACAGTCAAACAGCGTAATTATTCCCAAGTTCAAGATGATTTATTGATACGGCTCCTTTCACAGTACGGCTCTGACAGCTGGTGTAAAAAAGTGAGTTAAAGGGAATCACAGAGCAGCGCTGATGGACTCGAGCAGTGGAAACTGAAAACACGTCAATGAGGTCAACTAATGAATCCCACGCTTTTTATGTGAAATGAGGCGCTGGGTTTACCATAACCACAACGCTGATACACGTAAAGTTTATATATGAATGATTTGATATCAGATTTATGACACTGCAAAGTCATTTACAGTCCTGTAAAACAGTCTTCAGCCCTAATGTTTTTATATTTTCTGTTTCTGAAGGTCTTTCAAAAAACTATTTTCTCATTGGCTGATTTTGTTTAATCCAGTCTGTGTAGAAATGAAAAGTATCCTAACGTCACGTCCTTAACAGGAGAGACCCAGCAAAACATCCTTCAGCTGCTCAGAAATGCTCTCAGGGGGTGGAGGCTCGCACGAAGCCGTTCTTCAGGAAGGAAGAAGCTGAGCTGAGCCAAATTACACAAAAACTGGGCGACAGGTCGCACGGAGGTTTGGTCCAAAGCGCGATGTTCGAGGAGACGAGGTCAGAGGTAAAACGGCGAGCGTCTGCAGCTGTGGGTAAAACACGGTGGAGGCTCGGTCACACGTCGGGGTCGTGCAGACAAACACGAGATTTCACACAGGAGTGAGAAATGTGCTCATACAAAAGGCTGCACACGTTTCCCTTTTCTCACAAACTACAAAGAAACATTTTCACCATATTCGTGTTAAAGTTTTCTCTCTGCTTCCATCAAACAGAACCCAAATCTGCTCGTTGCAGCCTGTGGTCTGCACACAAACAAACAGGCTCTGATTAGCTTTAGTTTCATTTCTGTGCTTTTATTTTCTGTAGAAATACTCAGAGTAGACCGGGACCATATAATTTCCCTGTTTAAAGAAATATTTGTTACAATCAAACTGTGGCTGCAGCTGCGAGGAACGACGGACACGTCACGGGCTGAATCAGGCGTAGGAGTTCAGACCTCAAGGCGCCGCGTCCTGGTGCAGAGAAACGAAACGCTGAGGCGGGTCGAGTTCACTCTTATCTTCAGCACGATCACAGCCGCAGTGATTGTGAGGCCACATCTGACCTTTGGCAAACCTGAGAAACTCACACCAGCACATAACCAGAATAAAAAGTGAGAAGGGTGAGGTTGAACGCCGACTTCCTAAACAGTTCTGAGGTCTGTGTCGAGCGTGGGAGCCGCCACCCACACACCGAGGTGTGGATTGATCGGGGATTTTAAAAGCTTCTTGTAAACACTTGTGTACCTGCAGGAGAGATTACCAGACATGCAGCCACCTCCCCCACGTGTGTGCACAGGTGCGGCGCACCAGCACCACGTGTGCACAGGTGCGGCGCTCTCAGTGTTCAATCAAGAGCCTTTTTCACACCAACAATGACATTTTATTTTTTTATATTTCACAACAACACGTCAACTATATACAAGCCCAGAAGAGACAAACGCAGGTAAAAGAGCGTCGGTGACGATGTTTGAAACCAAAGACGCTCTCAGGCAACGTTTCCACCATGAACTGAAACAAGTGCATGAATAAACTTTATCTTCTCCCAGTTTGCAGAGCTGAGCTGCTGACACCAAAGCAAACGTGACAGATGAACGGCGGGGGGCGTGCTATCTTCCACGGCTTCTTAAAAGTCCAAGTAATTTATTTCTGTCTCAAATGAGGAAGATGATGTCATCAGCCACCATGACTTGGTTGTCATCCTGCATGCGGGCCAAAGCGCCACGCACCTCGGCCTCTGCAAACACGTTCTGACGCTCCTTGTTGATGGCGTCCATCAGCGCGCTCATCTTCACCGACTGAGCGTGAGCAGACTGGAACACGGCGAACAGCGACGACTTGAACTCCTTCAGCCTGGGAGGAAAGACAGGAAGCAGAGACACTTCAAAATAAAGGCGCGCGCACACACACACGCACGCACACACAGACACACACACACACACACACAGACACACCTCTCTGCAGACAGCTCAGCGTCTTCAGCCTGCAGCGAGGCGTCCATGGGCTCGTCCTCTCTCGGCTTGGCTGGTTTCGGGGTGCCAGCCTGGACTGAAGAACAAACACCAAAGTGAGACGTGATGCAGAACCGAACATGAAGCTGAAACATGCAGAACT